CGCTCAACCAGTGAGCGGGAACCGGTCTCCACATGGGATCCGAACCCTCGGCGGGAGGGCCTCTGCGCTCCCAAGTGGCGCACTCTCCAGTGTGCCACTGGGCCGGCCCATGAATTGTTGGGAGCTTCTGAGCATGTAATAACATCCCACACAAAATTTTGCATGGGTACCTACAGAACTGGGACTGCACAGGAAGTATTAAGTGACCCATGAAGGAAGTTAGTTCTGCAGAATGATCCCACTGCAAGATGCTTTTCCAGTCCAAGGAAGTGGAATATGTTCCCGGGGCCATGATGGAGAGCATTTTACAGAAGTCCATTCTCCCCTTCATTATAATTGCAATACAACTGCAATTATAGTCCATGGATCAGGGAACCAATGTGAATAGTATACCTTTCTGAAAATATTTTTTTTAAACTGCGTTACTCCTGGGACCTGGAGAAATAATTGCGGCAAGTGTTTGGTATCACACTGAGCCAAGCGAGAGGAATGAACTTACATTAGGACTCTAGCTCATGTTTTTATAATCTTTTGTTCTGATTACTGCATCTCAGTGGTATTGTGAGTACTTGAAAATTAATCTTCACTCAAAACCAATATTCAGTAGCCACTGAAAAGTTTATATACTTCCTTTTCTCCTATACACTTAACACTGTTGACCCTGTGGGGAAGGCTACCCAGAAGGCTGACAGTATGTGCCTATGGGGTTACAGCAGTGTTTGACTTCGTGGTTATTCAGCCTCCAGCTCACTCAAGGGACATGAAGTCTGTGAACAGACTCATGCCTGGTAATTGGATAAAAGTCATGACAGCAGCATAGTGTCTCAAGTCTGGCAATACACTCTGGATCTTCCATGTAACAAACATCTTTAGAGACTTGACAGTTGTATTTATTTCTGAATAACCTATGATTAATTTATCACCACCAGATGTCTCCCTTTGTCAACCATTCCCTATGATCNCCCTGTGGGGAAGGCTACCCAGAAGGCTGACAGTATGTGCCTATGGGGTTACAGCAGTGTTTGACTTCGTGGTTGGTTATTCAGCCTCCGGCTCACTCAAGGGACATGAAGTCTGTGAACAGACTCATGCCTGGTAATTGGATAAAAGTCATGACAGCAGCATAGTGTCTCAAGTCTGGCAATACACTCTGGATCTTCCATGTAACGAACATCTTTAGAGACTTGACAGTTGTATTTATTTCTGAATAACCTATGATTAATTTATCACCACCAGATGTCTCCCTTTGTCAACCATTCCCTATGATCTGATTAGGAAATATGCCCTGTTGCTTGGTACAATAACCCTTATTGCTTTGCTCCTTAGGGATTAATTGTCACCACCTGGGCTCAGTCCCACCAGGCTCTGCCTGTCTTCGTTGAGACAATTAAGCCCACTTCAAAAGCATTGCTTTCTGCTAGCATTACCAGACTGGAAAAATAAGTCAGAATTATTCTTTATAGAAATTCCCTATTCCTTGTGAAAAATTAAGATGGGCCTTCTGGGTTCACAAAGACTGAGTTTCCTTGGGCTGGCCCAGTGGCGCACTGCTACAGTGCGCCGCTTGGGAGCATGGCGGCGCTCCCGCNGCTGCATTTCTGTCTTTCTAGTCTTCAAATATGCCACAGCTGTCCCTGCATTAGGGACTTTCACTTGACATTCTCACCACCCCACATAACTGTTTACTGGATCTTTGGACAGCTGGTCTACCAATCTGAACCATAGCGTTTGCCATGTACTATTTCATCAACCTAATTTTTTAGCATAGCATGCACTGCTACCAAATAGTTTCTTCCTTGTTAACTGAGAGCACTCTGAAGAACATCAATCTTGTTTTACTGAGCAATAGGGAGACTTGTGATAACATTAATATCTGTTACCAATTTGTTTTCTTTGTTGTTAAAGCCCTTAGAAATAATAATTTGGGGCCGGCCCGGTGGNAGGTCAACCATTAAAACCTGAGCTGTACGAAAATCCTTACCCAGAAAATCAGCAGCAAAGCAGCAATTTAGCTCAAGAAAACACAAAATTCCCATAGATCAGAGACAAAGTTCTGATATTAACTAGTAAGGGTCTAACACCACCAAAGAACACCTATGAAACCTAGAAGGACCAGAAGCCCCCAAGGCTCCCAAGCTGGGGTGTGGGGAGAGCCGAGGGCTTGGCTATGTCCCCCAACATCCACATCCCGCCCAGGGATGACCACCAGGCTGCTGCCAGAGGTGCTCTGGGCTCCCAAGCTGGGGTGGTGGGGGGCCGAGGGCCTTAGCCAGACCTCCCACCCACATCTGCATCCAGCCTAGCAACAGCCATCAAGGCACCATCGTAAGCACCCTGGGCTCCTGAGCCGGGATGGGGGAGGCTGAGGGCCTCAGCCATGCCACTCGAACGTCTGCATCCAGCTCAGCGACGACCACTGAGCTGCTGCTGGAAGCGCCCAGGGCTCCCCTGCCAGAACGAGGGGTTTGCCACAGGCCTCTACCATGCCCCACCATTTCCTCCTCCTCCCACCTTATCCCTCTTCTCTTTTCCTTCTCCCCATCCCCCAACTGCTCCACAACAACATCTTAGAATGCTAAAAAAAAATAATAAATAAGTATATTTTTAAAACACCTAAAAAAAAAGAAAAAATTATATACTGAGTTTGCTAAGATCTACGGTAAGAGCAAATCTTCCATTCACGAAATTGTGAAAAAAAAA